CCAGGAGGCAGAGGCTGCAGTGAGCCATGCTTGCACCACTACACTCTAGCCTGGGCAACAGAGCAAGACCCACTCTTAAAAACAAATTCCCTGGCCATAGCCCCTGGGATTCTAGTCTCCGTACAACCAGAACCCCACGAGCCACATTTTAAGGCTTTTACTCTGGGGGTGGGGGGCATAGAAGAGAGGCCAGGGGTTTGGGGCTGTTGAACCCATGAGGGTAGACCTGAAGCCTCATGACATTCATTTTCTGAGTCTAGCAAATCCTGAAGTCCACATCCCAGATGTTTCACAGAAGTAAGTCAATACATTCCTGATAGGATAATGTTGATTTTCCTGCCACATGCAGTCAGTTCCACCCCAACAGAATTCAGTTGATCTGCACAGCCACTATGGGGCAGAGATGACTGCCCCCATTTTACAGATATGGCCGGGAGGCTCAGGGAGGCCATGTGCCTCACAGAGGACTGGCCTGCACAAAAACCAGTGGTTGACCCGAACTCAAACCTGTCTACATTCGTCCCCTCACTGCATGTACCCCTCTTGATGGGAGAGCAGGCACCTGCCAGCCCCATGCTGGTCTGCCCAAGGAATGGCTCCTGAAACCACCAGCTGGCCAGTGAGCCACGTGGAAGGGTTTGGTCATGCCTACCCTCATCCTGCCCTTCCACCCTGGTCATTGCACTGGTAGTGGGGGAGGGTGAGCTCTGCTTTGCCCCTTGTCACCGTGGCTGTGGGGATCCTGTCCAGATGGGACTAGGGGCTCTCTTACTGTCTGTGCATCATGAGTGAGGGCCACTTTCAGTTTGCTTCTACCTGGGACGCTCTGGGTGCCATGCTAGAAAGGTAGCTTATGGCCACAAAGGCAAGTCCAGGGACAGGTACTCATGCCCAAATGGAGCCCCATGCCTCGGAATGGGGTGAGTGGGAAGCAGTAGCTTCCCTTGGAGGTGGAAAACAGGGAGGTCTCAGTTTCCAGAAAGCCCTGGGGCAGCAGCTGCCTGGGTGAGGTTTTCCCTGAGCCTGAGTCTTCCCTCTCCTCTACTTCAGGGGGTCCAGCCTCTCCTCCAGAAGGGCTGCCAGGACGAGATGGGATTTGCTTTGAAAGGCTGGGAATAGGTCCTGCAGCTGCTCTGGCCTTCCCCTGGACTGATGTGGGTCCCAGTGGTACTGAAGGGCACTTCCAGGTCCTGTTAGTGCAGGGGCCATTGCAGCAAAGGGCTGACTTTAGGAACCATCACCTCCCTCTTTGTTTTGTTTTGTTTTTGAGATGGAGTCTCGCTGCTACGCCCAGGTTGGAGTGCAGTGACGTGATCTCGGCTCACTGCAACCTCTGCTTCCCGGGTTCAAGTGATTCTCATGCCTCAGCCTCCTGAGCAGCTGGGATTACAGACTCCTGCCACCACACCCAGCTAATTTTTTTTTTTTTTGAGATGGAGTTTCGCCTTTGTTGCCCAGGCTGGAGTGCAATGGCGCAATCTCAGCTCTCCGCAACCTCTGCCTCCCAGGTTCAAGCGATTTTCCTGCCTCAGCCTCCTGAGTAGCTGGGATGACAGGCATGTGCCACCACGCCTGGTTAATTTTGTATTTTTAGTAGAGACAGGGTTTCACCATGTTGGCTGGGCTGGTCTCGAACTCCTGACCTCAAGTGATCTGCCTGTATCGGCCTCCCAAAATGTTGGGATTACAGGCCACTCCACCTGTCACTTCCCTTTTGAAAAATTGACTGCCCTTGGAGCCAGTCTCACTGCTATGAAACAGTTGGGGACGTTACATCACTGCTCCCAGCCTCAGTTTCCACATCGTGAACTAGGATTTGTAATCCAGGTTCAACAGGCTTGTGAGATTTTAGATGAGTGAAGCGCCTGGCATGCTTTCATAAGCAACTTTTTCACATACCATTCGGTTTGCCCATCTAAACAGTATGGCTCTTGGCCAGGTGTGGTGGCTCATGCCTGTAATCCCAACACTTTGGGAGGCCAAGGTGGGCGGATCGTTTGAGGTCAGGAATTTGAGACCAGCCTGGCCAATATGGTGAAACCCTGTCTCTACTAAGAATACGAAAATTAGCCGGACGTGGTGGTGGGCACCTGTAATCCCAGCTACTTGGGAGACTGAGGCAGGAGAATTGCCTGAACCCGGGAGGCGGCAGTTGTAATGAGTAGAGATTGTGCCATTGCACTCCAGCCTGGGTGACAGAGCGAGACTCTGATTCAAAAAAAATAAAGGGTATGGTTCAGGGGTCTGTATATTCACAGGTATGGGCAGTCATCGCCACAGTTGAACATCTTGCCCACCCCAAAAAGAGAGCTTGTGTCCTTTAGTCACTCCCTGTCTCCCGTCTACTGCCTCAGCCCTGGGCAGCCACTGAGCCACTTTCTCTGGGTTTGATCTGGCACTTCTAAAGTAGAAGTTATTATTGGCAAAGGCACTGGCTCTTATTTCTAAGAGATCATTTAGAATGCCAGGGGCAGCAGAGGATGGGTCTGCCTCGCAGAGAGAAGTTTGATTTACATTTCAAAAGGATCTTTTCTGGCATTTTAGGCCACTTGGCATTAAAAAGAGATTTGTGGGGCATTGTCTGGAAGGGGACTTTTGCCACTGTGAGCTGGTGACAAGCTGACTAGAAGTGGGGGTGTCAAAGGCTGGGATCACTACCTTGGTGGGGGCACATGAGGGGATAGTTAGTGAATTTGGAGTCTGTTCTTCCCCCATCTGTCTTGGTGACCCTTCCCCTCCATCAGGAAAATGAGGTGCTGAGCCATCTCTATGGTCTCAGCCTTCGGTTTTGCTCTGTTCAGGGAGTTTCAGAGAGCTGGAGTGTCCCAGGCCCCTTGGGAATTGGAAGCAAGTCCTAGAACTTTCTGGAACACAGAGAGTGGTCTGTTGGGCCTTCCTTTGCTTCCTCAGCTTCCACCCTCTTCCTTCACTCCTTTCTAGGACTTTCCTTCCTCCAGCCCTGAATCCTCCAATGTTAATGGAGCAGGGGTCAGGAAACAGCCTGTGGGTCGGATCTGGTTCGCTGCCTGGTTTTGTACATACCAGGAGCTAGGAATGTGTTTTAAAAATCAAAAGAATGGCCAGGTGCAGTGGCTCAAGCCTGTAATCCCAGCACTTTGGGAAGCTGAGGTGGGCGAATCATGAGGTCAGGAGATTGAGACCGTCCTGGCTAACACGGTGAAACCCCGTCTCTACTAAAAATACAAAAATTAGCTGGGCGTGGTGGTGGGTGCCTGTAGTCCCAGCTACTCAGGAGGCTGAGGCAGGAGAATGGCGTGAACCCAGGAGGTGGAGCTTGCAGTGAGCTGAGACTGCGCCACTGCACTCCAGCCTGGGCGACAAAGCGAGACTCTGTCTCTAAAAAAAAAAAAAAAAGAAAAAGAAAAAAAAAAGAGAACATTTCGTGTTGCATGAAGATTCTATGAAATTCAAATTTCAAAGCCCATAAATAGCTTCGTTGGGGCGCAGCCACACTTGTTTGTTTACGTATGGTCTGTGGCTGCCTTCGCCATGGATAAGAGACTAGAATAGCTGCTGCGGTCTGTATTTTCTATCTCTGTCTTTACAGAAAATACTTGAGCTCTGAGTAAGGCCTGACCTTGTTCCTGAGGGCTCCGTAGTGGAGCTGATGGGAAAGTAGTGGATGGCATTGGTGGTGGCTGAGCGAGCGGGGTGCCCTCTCAGAGAGCCGGTTATTAATGGAGTGCTAACCAGTCACTCTAGATGAGAAATACTCAGATCACATTTAAACACAAGGAAAGCTGTTTACAGGAAAACGGTAAAATAGCACAACGTAAAATTATGGTACACTGTGGTTATGCTGTCATAAAAATGTGTACGTATGGATAGAGAAGAAGGTGTCCCACGTGGAGAAATGAACAGGTATCTTAGGGGGCGGGTTGGGAGTAAGAGCAGTTTTTCTTTCTATTCTATTTTTCTGTTTAAATTTTCCTGTAATGTTCTAATAATAAGTGTTGATCACTCGCAGCCACCAGGGGAAGCAGCCACCCAGGCAGAAGGCCGTTCCGGGTCTCAGGCGGACTTTAGGGAGAGGGACCCCGAGCTCTGGACCAGGGTTAGGAGGAGGTGCCCCGGGCATGTGGAGGCTGGCGGCCCTCGCTCCTGTGAGCTGGCGGCTGGGGCTGCGTCTCGCCCATGTTGCTGTCATGTGCAGGGCCCATGTGAGTTGCGTGTCTGCTCACTATTGTGCTGTAGCCTCTGAAAGTTGCTCAGGAGCTTGGGATTTCGTGGAGAAGTGGGAGTCAGTTGCTTCTGTCCAAAGGGTTCGGCCAATGGGGGCCATTCTGAGTTCAGAAACCTCTGGTGTGGAACCCAATGGATCCAGCCAGGCCAAGCTCTACTGTTAATCAGTTGTATGCTCTGGAACTCGGGTTAAGTCTGCGGGTGGCAAAACTGGCACCTCCCATCCCATCTTCCCTCCATCCCTCCCCCCCAGCCCTGTGTCTCACTCTGAGCTTCAGGAAGTTGGTGCCACCTAGCTACGCTCACTGACATGCATCTCGTGCTGTGCTAAGATGCTGTCCCCATGTTGAGTGTGCCCTCTCCAGGGAGACTGCCAGTGCTCGTGGGCGTGCATCTTCTGCTTCTGCATCCTCGGTCACTGTCAGCAGAGGCCTGGGCACATGGTGGTGGACAGTGGCTATTATCTGTGGTTGTGCTGGAATGGAGGAGGCCTGGTGTTTGGTCTTGGAGTCAAGAGTGCGTGTGCTTAAGAATTCCAGGATCACACGGAGGATGGTGTGATTAGGTCTGGGAAGGGGGGAGGCCGGAAGGAGGGCGAGAGACCTCGACCTGTTCTTGGGAAGGAAAGAGCAGGTGAGGGTGGGATTCTGTTCCAAGCACGGGAAACAGCACCAGGAGGTGGTCATGGCCCTGGGGCCAGGGCTGGGAGGCACTTGCTCCAGCATGCAGTGACTGAGCCCTCCTGTATGCACTGCCGCAGGTGCTGGGAGACCGTGAAGTGCAAGGCAGATGAGTCCAGGCCCTCGGGGAGACAGCATGCCAGTAGGGGAGACGGAGACCAATCACCTACCCAGTGTGCAGTAAGTCAGACGGTGACAAGCTCTGAAGACAAGGAAAGCAGGGAGGAAGGGGTGGGCTGTCCCCTGTGCTCTTTCATGTGGGGAGACGAGAGGAACCAGAGGATGTGGGGATCGACCACGTGGTTAGGGGAGGAAAGCGTGTTTCAGGCGGAGGGTGAGCAAGCGCAAAGGCCCTGCGGCAGGCACGTCTGTGACCGGTCAGAGCAGAGTGAGGGGTGGGAGATGGAACCGGGTCAGTGGGGTGGGGTGTGTACATGGCAGGTCTGCAGACCCAGGTGAAGAGTCTGGATTTCATTTTTAAGGCGATGAGAAGCTCGGGAGGGTCTGACCAGCCTTACATCTTGAAAGGGAAACCCCTGCTCCTGCGTGTCAGCTGTTACTCGGGGTTCGCCAGTGGCAGCGAGAGGCAGTCGCAGCTTTCAGGTGAGAAATGATGGCAACTCGCACGGTGGGGGAAGAGGGGCCGCTGTGGAGGTGGTTTGGGGGGCCTGTCACCTGCTGTTCCCCAGCTCAGTGAACAGTGCCCCCACGCACCCCTGCCAGGTCAGAAATCCAGGCACTGCCAGCCTCTGCCGTTCTATGTGTGGTCAGGCGGGGGAGCCTTCGCCCTCCCATGTCCCTCGTCCCATGGCCCAGACAGCACGGTCCTGTGATCCCCCTCCCATTCCAGTCCTCAGCACAGCCATATCCCTCCAGGGCTCAGGCCCCCACCATGGCCAGACCCCCTACCCCACCTTCACCCTCCCCCAGTCCTTTGCACACATAGCATCTGGAATGGGCAGCACCTCAGATG